CGGTTCTTGCATGAGGCCCATTGAGTGAAAAACAAACACGATCAAGCCATAATGATTGTTGTTTATATGCTTATTTGAGCTTTGACAGGGTAGAGGGAGGAATAATAATAATTTATGACACGCTGCATCTTCAACCACCAACCTGCTGTCTCAACGTCATATTGAAAACAGTTTAAATTCATGCTCTTATTTTGAAGTGAACAATTTTTACTCTACTTCATCCTTTACCCAGAATGCATTGCTTCAGTTCTCTAATAAACAGTTTAAAATTACTAATATATTGCATGATTTCTTACCGAAGCCCTACCGTAAGCATAAGAAAAATGACAAAGAAGCAGCAGAACTTGCAGTCCACAACTTTTTATTTTAACACCATGATTCAAAAGTCTCTTTCTATAATTCCCTTCCTCAAACCGGGATGACATGTGTTATGAATTAAAAGCAAATTTTCATGCCACTAGTTGGCAGTATTGTACAAAAATGTCTCATGTCCTCAGTGTAAATATTACATTCTGGTGGATGAGACAATGTTGAGCTTTTGTTTTATCTCTGCTAAGACTCTTTTGACAAGTGTGCTTAAGAAGTTTTGGAACCAAATAATTAAACTAGCACTTAATAATTTGCACAACTAACTTTTGTGCTAGAGCTACCTATTACTGTTTATTTCTATCTCTTGTGCAAGAGGAGAAATCTGCTCTTTGTGACCATTGAGGAGAAATSTCTCATCCTCAATAGTGTTTTTAAGGTGACCCTGGGAATTTATTTTCAGTCTGCCTTTTTCCCCCTCTTTGCCGAATGCTTTCACTTCCTCTGTGACATAACCTGCAGGCATAATCACAGTGGGTTGGTCAAACAACTGAGACAAAAGCTAAATGAGGCCACTTGACTCTTCTGCTCTCTGCCTTCAGGCACAATGACACGCATCATGCAATTTATGTATCTCAGAGGAGGGCTCGGACTAAGTAAATGTTATATTAAAAGTACTGAGTCACACTCTAACACAGCTAACTGCCAGACATACTGACTAAAGCTATTTAGGACATTTGTTTTTACAACAGAATCTGTATTTTGCACTAAGGACAATGGGCCTCATGCAAGAACATGTTCGTATTCTTATCCTAAATTTCTCTTACTTTTGTTCGTAC